AAATTTTATAAAATTTTGCCAAGGTTGAGAAAATACTGGTCCAGAAACTTCACTAAGCAATGTCAGAGGCTGATGTTTTGTAGTATTGTCCTCTTCTGTGCTGGAAAAGGGACCGATGCACATACGCAATACATCTCCAGTACCCTAGTAGCTTAAATATCAGTTATGGCCATATCAATCCTCACCTCTTATTCTTTATTCACTTTTTCTTCCCCTAGACGGAGTATGCTGTGCTGAGACATATCTCCAAGCTGAGGAGAATCTACACCTTTTACAGCAGCCTTGGCTACAACCACTCCCTCGATAACACCTTCCTGATGACCAAGCTGCAATTCTGGCGGTTCTTGAAGGACTGCAGATTTCATTACTGCAACGTGACGCTGGCTGCGATGGACCGGATCCTGAACGGTCTGCATTTTTCATTACAGGCCATGCAAATGCTTTCTTTACCTTGTGATGTCTCTCCCTACCGCAGGTTCTGGTTTGTCCCAAAGTCTAGTTAGTTCCAAAGCCATTGGTGGTTTTGAACTGGAGCCATTGCAAAGGACTGTTCCGTTAGAACAGGTATAACATTCCCAAAATTTAAGAGTTTATTGGGGGATTCTTAGCCCAGCCACCACCCACAGTAGCACCGAACCAAACGAAGCCAAACTTAGATCAATACTGTGGTTGCCCCCCAGATAAACACATACAGCATGCAGAGAAGGCTATGGGGGGCGTGGGGCGGGCACCACCCACAGTAATATCTATCTAGGGATGTAGCATGACCACCACGAGCACCAGTTGGACATCCTGAAGACAGGAGAAACATTTGCACCATTGTGCTATTACTGTGATTCCATTGCTTTATAGCATTTGCAGAGTAAACCAGGCAGCGTATTAAGAGCAGAAGTAGCAGAGTTTGAATATCCCATAGCTCCTGACAGCCGCTCCTTCAGTCAATCCATAGATTTAAACTTTGCTTCGCTTCCCTGGGAAGAAACGCCACTGAAGATGAATCTATATATACATATGATGAATAAATAAATCAGATGAATTAAAATCTATACTTGAGTGGGGGGGTGGGGGGAATCAGTGGAAGGTTTTGTGTGTGTGTGTGTGTGTGTGTGTGTGTGTGTGTGTGTGACTTCAAGTCATTGTTGACTCCTGGCCCCTGCCTGGACAAGTCCCTGCCATTTTCTTGGCAAGATTTCAGAAGTGGTTTGCCATTGCCTCCTTCCTAGGGTTGCGAGAGAGTGACTGGCCCAACATCACCCAGCTGGCTTTCTGCCTTAGGCAGGACTAGAACTCACAGTCTCCTGGTTTCTAGTCTGATGCGTTAAGGCAGCATTTCTCAACCTTGGCAGCTTGAAGATGTGTGGACTTCAACTCCCAGAATTCCCCA